AATAAAAAGACTTCATTTCTTTCATCACCCACCTTCCTTTTTCTTTTCATAGGTTATAATATAAATATCAAGATGTTGAATATTAATTCTTTATTAAGCAATTGATTATCATTCACATCAATATTTTTGATTTATTTTCTTATTACTAGCAATGTGGCAACATTGTAGCAAAATCTTTTAGTGATTTTATTATTATTTAATAAATTGACTTATTCTTAGCTATATTTTTTTTTTTTTTTTTTTTTTTTTTTGTAGTATTTTTTTTTTCTAGCTTGTATCTATTTCAATGTTGCTTTGATCTTCTTCAAGTGTGTTGAGGTTTCAATGGTGGAAGTAACAATTGCTATCAAAGAAGATGTGGCTTTTGTTTTCTTAAATTGTTGGTTGACAATTCAAATTTTTTGTTCTTTGTCCACATCATCATTACCTCTATTGGCCTCTACTTTAGCTTGTGGCTTGCCTCCATGTATTTGTATGCATTGTTCTATTCTTGCTATACTTCACTACTCAAGCAATACATTTGGGTATTGTGGTACTTTGCAAGTCTTGTACAAGTAGTGCAAGAAGAAAGAAACTATAATATGATAGGATATAATAGAGTTTAATTATAGAAATTGAAGTAGTGTACTAATACATACAAAGTAATTTGGTCTTGATGCCTAATTACATATAATTTAAATCTAGTAGTTAAAAATATTCATATATAATAATAGTAATATTTGGAGATTAATCTTTAGATATTCTGGATTTTTTTAGAATTTATGAAACTTTTCTTATATAGAATCTAGAATGCTTAATGTGTAGGGAGATAATACATAGTGCTATATAAAACACTACTACTAGTACATTGATAAGCCAATAATTGGTTGAAGTTGTGCTGCTATAAAAAAAATAAAAACAAAAACAAAAAAAAATATTAAATTATGATTATCATTTTGAATTAAGAGCAATCTTATAGAAGAATTGTATTCTCACCTATATGGACCAAGAGTAGATTAGACTAGTTGTTTATTTGGAATATTTGGAGGATATTATTCAATATTTCCATTATAATTGCTCCTTATTTAGAATCAATCAAAGATTCTTCTTTGATGTCTATCCTTTATAGATGATAACTAGAAGGCAAATGCAACCAAATAAGAAGAGGTTAAAACTATACAAATTTTGATGATTGATGAAAATATAAGAATAGATAAATTCTTATGATATATAAACTTAAGTTGGATAAAGTATGTTGGATAATTTTTTATTAAAGGATAAATTATTATTATTAAAGAATAAAAATTTATTCATAGATGAAAACTTCTAGAAATAAATGATATTGCTCAAAGGAGCTTTATTGATTCTTTATATTATTGGAATTAAATTGAAATATTTAGATGGATATTTTGTAAAGTTTTTGATAAAAAATAAAAAATTTCGGAATATTTAAAATAAAATAATTACTAGTATAATTTAATAAGGTATCAATTATGGCAGTATTATTTTAACTCATAAATTTCATCAATTCAAATCAATATGTACTAGAATAGTTGATTATAATGTCAATACATTTTTATTATGTCAACCTTATTTTCCTAATAAAGAACATAAAGCTCCATTTTTCAACAACAAAATTATTTGTATTGTAAATTTGTTAGAACTAATTTATTGTGATTTAAGTAGATCCATTAATTGATCAACTCATATTAGATTTTTATGTTTCTTAAATTTTATCAATAAAAATTATAAATATACAATGATATTTTCACTTAAAATAAATCTAAAATCTATAATATTTTTTTAAATTATAAATTATTTGTAAAAAATCAATTCTTTTAAAAATTAATTCCTAATTTTCTTTATTTTGTCAAAAAAATATCTTTATTTTTTCAAGAACATATTATTCAATGTTATCATAAAATTTTAGATTTAATTCAATAAAAATGATATTAATGAAAGAAAAAAACACATCTTAATTGGTGCCAATATTTCCATACTATAACATAGTGTCTTATCTAAATATTTTTGGAGTGGGGCCTTTCTTATTAAAAATCATTTAAAAAATAGATCTTTAATTAAAATAATTAAAAGTTACACTCTTTGTAAAGTCTAGACCAAAAAAATATCCAATTTGTCTTATTTAATAATTTTTAGAAGTATTGTCTTTGTATTAATTCACAAAGAGCATTGCAAACTTGATATTTATATTATACCACATATTCTTCTAGAATTATAATAAAAAATAATAATAATATTTAATAAATAAATATACTAAAAAATTATTATTTTACTTAAAACTATCTTTAATAACACATTATATCATGTCTTACTTACAAAAGTTCCATAATATAATAATTTTAAATATATATATATATATATATATATATATATATATATATATATATATATATATATATATATATTCATTTTTTTATTTCAATTATAGTATCTTAAATATATCATGGATTATTTTTATTAGTTATGAATACATTTAATATTTTCATCTCTAATTAAAATCATAACATAATCTACATACTCTTATTAATATTTATAAAAAACTAATTACAAGTGATTCTTCATCTTCAATCTTTATTCTAAGTAAATCTTCTTGTAGTAATTAGATTTATCATTTGCACACTAATTTTAATACTACATGGCATCTTAATAAAGATAGTACTAAAAAAATATATCCAATTAATTTATATAATCAATTCTATTAATTATGTATCATTGTAGAAAACAACATTCCTTTGAACTTTTACAATGGCATCTATTACTTAAGCAAAGATTTAACCAAATAATAAATCTTTGTAAATAGTTAATTGTATCTATAAAAAGATAAAATATTTTAAAGAAAATTCTAAAATTAAAGAATAATCATTTGATTGTTAATAAAATTAATAAATTTATTATTTTTAACCAAGCTTTGGCTAGTGGTTATGCCAATATATGATAATTAATTCTTGATTCTAAAATTTATTCTTATTTCAAAATAAAACTAGCAAATAAATTTACTTTTTAAAAGATGCAAATTTATTATTTTTATGTAGATTTTTAAAATTAAATAAAATTTTGATATTTCAATTAATAAATTTAAATCATGTTTATTTGCTTAGAACTTTATAAAAGAAGTGGGCCTTGACTTCACATTAAGCTTTTTTTTGGACTTAAAATTGGCTTCAATTGAGTTATTACTTACATTAGCTACTCAATATAATCTTAAATTTCATCAATTGAACTTCAAATCTGCTTTTTTCTATAATAATATAATCAAAAAGTTATACATGACAATTCCAAATAGCATGACTGTTATTCTTTATAACTCAAATAATTATTTTTTTTTTCTTAGAGAAATCTTTCTCAAATTTAAAACAATTTTCATGTGCTTGGTGTATTAAATAATATAATTATCTTTTATTTTATAGATTTTCTCTCTTTAAAGAAAATTCTAATATTTACATAAAACGTAAAAATATAAGTTTAATTTTCATAGCCATCTATGTAGACAACTACATATTTTTAAGTGATAAACTTACCTTCATTATTTCTTTAGAAAGAAATTTATAATGAATTTGAAATGAATAAAGAAAAAATTATATTGCATTCTTGGATTACAAATTTATTATAGTTGGCTTAATAAAACTCTTGACTTAAATCTAAAAAACTATTTACAATTTGTACTTCAAAAATATCATATGAATACTTTTAATATAATCTCTACTCTTCTCAAAGCTAGTAGAAAATTATTAAAAGAATTTTTCCTAATTAATCAAGCTAAAAAAGATATAATTATGGGCATTATTTATTTTAAATTAATTGGTAGTTAAATGCATTCTATAGTATGCACTCAAATTGATATAATATTTAGTATTAATATTTTTCTACAATATTTATTCAATTTTAGAACTATTTATTGGAAAAAATTAAATAACAAATAGAATACATTAAGAGAACAATAATCTATAGTATTACTAATAAACAATCATCTATCAAACATTTTTTTTTATGATTACTATAATGTTGATTGAGTTGGTAATCAAAATACATGGCAATTCACATTTTGCTACAATTTTCTTCTTGCTAGAAAAGTAATCTCTGGGGCTAATAAGAAACAAACTTCAATTGCTCTTTCTAGTATCAAATCCACATATATGACTTTATTTAAGATATGTGCTAAAGTTGTATGGTTATAAAGATTATTATACAATCTAGGATTTTTTCAAAAAGAACCTACTAATCTATATTGATAACTAAAGTGCAATATCTTTAAGTCTTAATTCAAATTTTTATTCTAAAATAAAACATATAAAAATAATATATTACTTTATCCATAAAACTATACAATCTAGACAAGTCCAATTCCAATATATATCTACAAATAAAGTGGTAGTAGATGTTTCAACAAAGAGTCTACTATGGCAAAAACATCAATAATTTTTGAATGATCTTGAGTTTACATCCATGATAATATCCAAAAAAATTATCTTTCAACCAACTCCTAAGATTCAAAAAAAAATCACGTTTTTTGAGTAAGATAATCTTTACATTTTATTATTCAACAACTCCAATTCTTCCATTAGATTGAGAGCCTTATTTAATATCATTAATCCAATATCAAAATTCGTAATATGTAAAAAAAAGATAATAGATAGTATATACAATAAAAACTTATCTTCAAATAACATTATTTAACTAAATACTGAACTAGTGAGAATATTTCATATATATTTATTGTAGCAAGTAATTTTTTATGTATTTAACAAATAATATGATAGTGTGCCCCTTGGCATAAGGATGTGACTCTTGATTATGTACTTAAGGTATTTTATCTTGCAAAAATTTAATGCAATTTGACTCTTTCATAGTCTATAACCTACAAAACTTGTGCATTGAAGTTCAGACTCCACAAGTCATGCAGCGATATCAGCGATATCATATGAGGTTTCGGTTCCCGACCACCATAATGAATGACAACCTAAACACCCTAGAATGGTCATCCATGGAACGGAAATTCCAAGTTTCAAAGCAAATACCAAATTTACTTGCAGGATCACTAACAGTAGAACTCACCTCACCTAAATAGACCCTTGAAAAAAATTAAGAGTAATAGAAATCTAGTGGTAAGTAACATGCTCTTTCAAGAGCATAACTGCTACCGCTGCTATCTAACAATATTGTATTAAAAATGCTAAGAGTTTAGAAATGACTATACTGCAATCTGCATGGACTGAGATACATATCAGTTCAGGTTGTGATCTTGTACCAAGACCCAACAACAAGCAGTTGGTAAATTCATGCTGTAAATGCATGAAATTGTACAGCATCCAGTTATTTTATGAAGGGTCAAGCCCAAAGTTTATAACTGTCATTGAACCTAACGTGGAAATGAGGATACTCACTGGCTAGTGAATATAGATAGCACGTATCGACGTCTTACATTGCGTACTTGCGTAAAGTTGACCAGACTGCCTACACAAGGCAGACGTGGATCTTCGTTAAACTTCAGCTAGGCAACAGAATGAAATCATATACCCTCCTTCGCTCCCCCTGTTAAAGTAGTCCTCCATGTAAACATCTGAATTCTGCAACGCTAAACTTGACTATCTCCTTGATGAAGACTATATAATAAGGAGCTGTGAATATGGTTCGGTCCAGCCCAAAATCCGATTCTATCAGCCATGCGGCTCAACAAGCTTGGGTCTTTTATGAGACTCCTGGGCATCGCGCACACCCTCTTCGGTGATCACATATGGTGCTGTTCCAACTGGTAAGGACGGAGACTTGGCCAGATGAGCATACCGTTGGCCATCCATCCAATAGACCATCAGCCGATTGGTGCAGACATGAGACCAACTCTCTCCTGATACCAAAGCCCAATCAACCTCAGACGATTTTTTGCTTTTGCTTTCGGTTCAGATCACACTGAATGAATACGCATGCAAAGTAAGCATTTTGTTGATAATACCAGCAATATTGGAGTGACATCTATGACAAAAGAGCTAGAACTCACCTAGGGCTGGAACAGTTCTAGAGCCTTCGCTTGTCACTTTGTGTGTAACCTGATTCACGAGAACGATCTGTACAGCAGTACGTCATACATGAGTGTCATTCTAAGACCGATCTAAACTAGAAGGTCGGAACGTGTTAATTTTGTTGAGATATGTACATACTTTACCACAGTACAGCATCTCTGCTATTCATCAACTTGCAGCAAGGAATAAGATCCTACTCTTATCACACTTCACAGATTCAGATACATCATCTTATCGAAGTGAACGTCAATGGAAATACCAAACTATAATTATATTGGCTTGAGTCTATTAGCCAATAATAGAAGATACTTCTGTAGTCAGGATACGAGTAGAAACAATGGATATACATGTCTCTCCCACCTTTGAACGTAATATTTCTCTTATGACGATAAGGTTTTGCAATTCATCCGATCGGTGCCAAGCACTTTTCATTTGAACTAATTCTCTACTTTTCATATTCGGAATTCTATAACTTTGAGAAAGTCAACTTAACATCAGGCAAGTAAAGAACAGCTTCTGTCTTACAGCAACATCATAATTCTCAGCAACCGCCATCAGCTTCTGAGCCATGTTGGCTAAAAGTCGAGTTCTTCCTGCCATATCTTCAAAGTCCTGACGAAAGTTAAATGTTACACTATCAAAGACTACGAGCCTCACCTGGCACATCAACACGACTTCGTCCAGTCAGTGTTTGAGAGAATGTACAATAAACAGCAAAAAATTTACTTCCTACAGTAACTCTAAGTTCTAATCTCCAGCCAGCGTTTGTGGCTACTGCCAATAATTTGACATTAGTGTTCCCAATACTCGATTTATTCTAAAGAAAATCTAACAACTCAAGCTATTTTCTCATTGTACACAATCCGTCTAATATAATCGTCTCTTGCCCCTCTTAACAAAGGGTTTCGCTTTACTGCACACTTGTAGTCTCTATTCGAGCCACTGATTGAAAACCACATCTCAATTCTGGATATGACAGGCAGGCCCACCTCCTTGTGCTCATCTAGAAGAGTGGGTAAGGTGTTGACAACAGCAAGCTGCTCAACTGGATCATGGACCCGGAGAAGGTATATATGTGACAGAAAATCTTCAACAGTTAAATCCTCTGCAGAAGCTGGGGACTTGTTCCGAAGATCATCGATGACGGCCTCTGTTATCTGCAACACACGTTCCATCATAAAGCTCCCTTCTGTATCTGAAATGCAGATCAATACATTTTGAGATTTAGTTTTCTTCCATCCGAGAGATTTGATGTGAAACCTACTTGGTTGAGGGGAGTAGTCATGCAGTTAGCATTCGAACTATGAAATCTAACATACCTATATAAATAGCGTGGCCTCCAACGCCACCAAACTCTGCTGGAATTTGCACATTGACGGCCAACTGCATGCTGGTAATAAACACACTAAGTCAGGTGTCAGATGAAGCTCTCGCACAAAACGAAACTGAGCACAAAGAGACGTAAGCATCCCATGACACTAAACCCTAATAAAATTAAATCGTAATTACAAACTGGTAATTAATTGAAAACTTGGATTTGAATATTCTCCAATAATTACAAAAGCAGAAGACATCCAAAATTCCAGTACCTGAACTGTGTTTTGCCAACACCAGGGACGCCACCTGTACCCATAGAACCACCATACCCATCCTTAGTACCTCCAATGAATGCTGGATTCACTGGAAATTTTATATCAACGGATACACTCACATTGTCGCGAAACTGAGGTACACATAAGTTTTAAAAGAATACTTAAGATGCATGCAGAGAATAAAACCTTACAAATTTCAGTAAGCTCCTTAGACAAAACTCCCCCGCCAAGAATTTTATCCACCTCTGTACTCCCTGTCCCAATTTTTCTTCTATTCTTCTCATGTATCAAAAGATCCCACGCTGTCGTGGAACCTGACAAGAGAGAAGATTGAAGCTCACTTGAGTACAAAAAAAAAGCACACGGAAAATAAATATTGAATTTTAAGAATTGTAGATTGCGAAGAGATAAAAGTGCAAGAGAAATGTCAAGAAAATTGCAACCTCGAAAAAACTGTACATAGTATGAAACTAGAGAATGTGTACCTGTTAGAGGACCACTAAGACTAAGAGCGCCAACATGATCAATGTCAGATCGTGGCACCAACTTCAGCACAACCGTGGCCTCCTCTAGTGTAATATTTGCCTCTGCAAACGCAAATTGCAACCACACCAGTTTTTCGATGAGATAAATTAGAAGCAAAGGATACTCTAGGAGATTAAATTTGAACAAGCAACGTTTCCACACCTAGCTTCAGAAAGTTCTCAAAACCCAAAGAATTTTTTTTACAACAGGAATACTACATCCCTGAAGATGCTTGAAACCTAGATGTGCAGTTCACCTTGAGAGAGCTGAAAGGGTGTGACAGAGACGAGAGCAGCAGTGGTATGAAAGCCTGCTGCAAGAAGTTTGGATCGTTGCGATGGTGGCAATGCTAGTGTCAACACGTCCATCGCTACAGTGCAAAAGCTCCAAGCAACATTACAATTTCTTCACTACTGCAAGAATTTTCACAAGGGTGGTATACTAAACCACCACGTGCAAACGCTTGAAAGAAAGTCTAACGAGCACTCACTTCTGCCGAAAATCACTAAACCTCCGAAGGATCTTCTAAAAACCGGGTGCCTGAGACTATGTAGGTTCAATCCTCTGTTCATCCATCCTCTGTTTAAACTGGCTCACATAATTTCGACAACTTTGTCAATGGACCTATCCTGAGAACATCGACGTGATCGCAATCTAGGGTTAAGGCGTTGAAGAAATTTTGTGAGGAATTGCCTGATGAAACTGTTTCAAATCAGAAAGTGATGTCATGATCTTAATTCTGGTACTTATGGTTGTTTATATGAAGTGCATATGCAGTGGTATATGTTGTGAGGAAAGAGGTTGGAGTTTGATATGCAAGCGCAATCGTGATTGGCCAGTCAACATTCGTATTTCGTTGTTTTCCTGGTTGGCTGCAAGCAAAAGGTCAAGTATGAATCAGGTAAGCACCTCTATTCGACGATGAGTTAACTTAAGCGGGTTTAATGTTTGCTGGTACGTAGGGCTGGTCAGAGGGTGAGAATGTTCAATGGTGAGCATCGTGCAAGGGTGTGATGGTATTCTGAAACCCTCAAACATGACCCAATCGACATGTGACTGAGCTTACAGTGCCAAGCTCCTACACAGCGTGGCGCAAATTTACTATAGGTCTTGTACCAGAACAGCTTAGTTATGCTTGGTGGCTTCCTCGTGCAGAAATACCTTGCCAGTACGCTAACAGTCCTTTTTTTCCATCACGGGCTTGCATAGCATTTCAGCGATAATTTTAGTGTCTCAATTAAGGCTCTACATAACTTCTAACGAATGCTTTGCAATTACTTCAAATCAACATATTCCTCACATGCGTGTCAGAGAAGTATCCTTGTTCGAGAGACATCCAAAATTTATGTTTTGATCATGTTTGGATCGATTAATAAATTTCAAGTGCCATCATAGACGAGAGACATTCAAAATTACATGTTGATGAAGTACAGTGATCTTAGCCTGACTTCTTGCTCATTGGTAACTAACATTATTTCGTCATCAAGCTGCTCACCATCTCTGGCTATGAGAAACAAAAAATAATTCAGGCTAATTGTTACATAGGGGCACTCTACTGCAATGCATGTGCACTTCTAAGAGTGGTTACACCACTTGTTCTCGTTGGGCATGGTAAACCGCCTACACAAACTACTCTGATGGTTTGCAGGCGACAAGTCCATAACATACACTCAGTGGAAAACACCTCAGAGATTACACATTAAACCGCGAATTTTGAGCTGTTAGAAAGCGCTCCTACATCTGCTGAAATCAAAAACATGAAGCTGGTACAATTTAACTACTGCACCTTCTTCAAATTCAACCGCCCTTGAATACTCGGAGGCAATTTACTGGTGACAAGTCCGTAGTAAGAGTTGAAGGTCTCCAATACGAGTGCGCAGAGCTTGTCGAACTCCTCCTCGTTCTGTTCGTACATAAAGGGCGCGGTGAAAGCAGCAAACAGTCCCATAAAGAGTAAACTCTGAAAGGAGAATCTCCCGAAGAATTTCACAACACGCAGCAGAACCATGACCTTGAAAAACAGAGAGAAATCTCGTTGTACCACTATCCTCTCCAGGATCGAGCAGACACAATTCCAATGCGATCGAAATTGAAGAGCTACAACCTTCACGCCATCCTCAGATATCTCGAACGATGAAGAGGGGATCTTGGGTAATGAGATCTGGAAAAATGGATCCGGCAGAAGGTTGTAGACAAAGACGGCAATCAATGCTACACATAAGTTGTATGTCAATGCAGAGACCAGAGTAGTGCCTGAACTGTAGAAGGAGTAAAGGAAGAAGAAAAGTGCAAAGAACAGTCCAGCGCTCTTCTTGCCATTCTTCCACAACAATGCATCAGCCACGGCACCACCCCCGAGCGCCGATTTCATCTTAGATGGCACTTCGATCTCTCTGTCCGCGATATCTGGATCCTCTGCCTCGGCTCTCAGTTCTGGATACGCTTCGATGGTCCTCCGTATTCCTTCCTCCAAAGATACGATGGGCTTGTACCCCAGAAGCTGAGCAGCTCGATTGGAGTTAAAGGTTCTGGTTACAGTGACTAAGCGCAGCCGCACAGGATTGAAATTGACCGCCGGCTTCACGCCAAGAGGGGCCAGCACCTTCGCTAAGCTGTCGTAAGCTTCGGCAATGGTGAGCACGAGCGGGGCTGGAATGTTGAACTTCGGCTTAGGGTAACCAAGTCCGGTAATAATTTTCGTCAGAAAATCCCAGAATGGAATTGGTTCCTGGTTCGTGATAAAGAAGGCCTTTCCAGATACAACGTGCTCTCCAGAGAATTCCACAGGCACCAAAGCCCTCTCAGCACACAAATGCGCATGGGCGACGTTCTCCACGAATGTCCAATCAAACATGTTTTTACCATCACCAAGAATAAACTTCAGTTTCCCAGCTCTCGCAGACTTCGCAAATGCAGGCACAGTCAGCCTGTCCCCAGGTCCAAAGATCCCGCTAGGCCGGATGGCACATGTAAGGAGGCCGTTTTTTCCATTAGCGCTCAACACCAAAGCCTCACCCTGTGCCTTGCAATCGGAGTAGTAGTCATTAAACTTGTCACAGATCGGAGCAGATTCGTCAACATTAACAAGGGGATGCACACCATCGAACACAATGCTAGGAGAGCTCGTATACACAAGCTTCTTCACGCCACATTCCAGACAGGCCTTGATCACGTTCCTCGTCCCGGTCACAGAAACATCAAAATGCAGTTTAAAGACGTTAATGGAAGTATTAGGTGCAGCCATGTGAAACACCACCGAAACTCCACGCAGCGCCTCCACCACCTGGTCCTCACTCCGAATGTCGCACGACACGTACTGTACACGCCCGGTGTCCAGCGCATGACGCATTACCCCAGCCGCCTCCTCTTCGGGTGTCAGTTGGATGCTCGGCGCCAGATCCACGATCCGGACCACGAAGCGCCCCTCCTCCAACAGCTTTTGTACGACGCACTTGGCCAAGAACCCTCGCCCGCCAGTTACCACGCACGTCTCCATTGCGTCCCCCATCGCTGCAATCGGCTCTCTCACGCTGATGTCGACCTCGAATCCTCCCTCCCCTGCTCACGGTCGCCCTGTGGCGAAAACCTCACAAATGTGTCTCAAAAAGGCCGCGAACGACCACAACACTGAGCGACTCAAGCGAGAAAAGAGGAAACGAGGGATGCGCGCATGTGCAACGAGTGAGGGTGCGAGCAGCGTGCGCGTGATCTGGCGGAATCAAGCGCACGAGTGATAGCCCTCTCACCCTGCGGCGCCCGTTTCTCGATCCCTCCCTCTCGCTCACTCTCTCTCACTCTCTCTCGCACTCTCGCTGCGAGATGATGGAGTGTCTTCGCTTCCCCCATGGATTCTCGCTCTCCGCCTCTACCCCTCTAAGGGGGAACGTGGATCGCCGTTCGTCCGTTCGTCCGTTCGTCCGTCATAAGGATCGGATCTCGCCGTGGTTGGTGGGCTCCCAGTTCATTTCCTCCACCTCAGCATTCGAGTCTCCTCTAGGTGCTGAGATGGAGACTCAGCACCGAAGCGCCGCTGTGCATTGCATGTGATTTTCTGAATTTCTTTATCACCCGCGTAAAAAAGGTGGAAGACAATCTGGAGTTGGGTTATTATTTTGGGACATTGTTATGGAAAAGGTGGAAAATGTCTGTTTCTGTTTATTTTTGTTTTTTGTTCAAATATTAATACGTATCTAATTTATGTGCATAGTTTTTGTTCGAATGAAACGGTATAAATTAGAGAGTGGCATGAATATTGTTGCAACAAGAAAATTCGAAAACAGGAAGTGCAATCACCTCTTTGGTATTTAATGTGTTACCTCAAATATTGCTGTAATATTTGATTAACTTGGTTGGTCTGACTATTTTCTTGTTCAGGGAATGCAACATACAAGCCAATGTGTAGGTTTAAGATTTAATTAGATTTCTTTTCCTCTTTCTTCTTTTTGGAGTTCTAACAAGTCAAAGGCTATTAGACAATCCAAAAAAAAAACAAAAAATAAAATAAAATAAAAATAAAAATAAAAATAAAAAATCACTAAATTTATTCAATTTTTTTTTGTCTTGTAGCAAAAGGGAAAAAAAAAAAAAAAAAAAAAAAAAAAAAAAAAAAAACTCTTTTTGGTGAATTAGTCTACTATTAAAATTTTATTATTGTAAACTTGACAATGCTATACATTTGATGTAATATATTGACTTAGAGGACATAGATTGTGTTAGAATTATTGATTATGGTAGAACTTTATAAAACTAATCTTGAAGATTTTCTCTCAATCCATGACATATATTGCATAATAAAATATTTTCTTAAACAGTGTTTAACATCTATAACTCTTTAAAAAATATAAATACAAGTTCTAATATTTTGTTGTATCTAAAAATGCCAGGTAGTAGAAAAGTCTTATTTTTTTGTAATATAATATAATAAATTAGTTGTTAGAGACAAATAAACACTCTTTAAATAAATAAATAAAATTTTAAAATTAAAGTGATTATAATATTTTAAAGAAAATATGTGTTGTCAGTCATTTTAAATTTTATTTTAAGTTTTATAAACTTAGTAAAAACAACAAATATATTGATTCAATTAGATCTTGAAGATAAAACTACTATTATTAAAAATTGTATTTTTTTTATTAATCAAAAATTGCATGTCTTTAAATTGGTACCAATTGTGTTTGTTTAAATAATATATACAAGAAATTTTTAGTTTTTAAAGATTTATTATATATCATTTTGGTTGAAACATTTCCTATTAAAAAAATATATTTATATAAAACTATGCTTCTTAGACTATTAATAAAATATAATAAATATATATGTCTAAAAAATAAATAAATAAATAAATATATATATATATATATATATATATTAAAGAAGTTTTTATGATTGATGATGTAGACTTATTACTTTAGACCAAAATTGATAAGTTTGTTTAAACATCAAGATAAAAAAATTATATTTAATCTTGAAAAATTACAAAAATTAATAATCACAAAGTTCAATTATAACTTTAATAATAAGTTCTATTGTCTTTTTTGAATAAAATTGTAAAATAAATGTAGGAACAACAATAACATTTTTTTATTTTTTAGTAAAAATGTGAAATTTTTACAGCTATAAAATAATAATAAGAATAAATTATGTTTTATAAATGATAAATTATATCTCTTTTATTTAGAAAAAAGTAGTATTTTTTAAACCAAATAATTACTTAAATTTTGTTAAGTTTTAAAATGACAAGTAATATTGAATATAAATGGTGTTAAAAACATAATAATTTTAGATGATAATTTAAGAGATGTTTTGATGTAATATGCTCAAATATATATATATATATATATATATATATATATATATATATATATATATGTTTATTAGATATATACTTACTGAATAATAAAATAAAAAATATACACTGTAAATTTTGTTATGCTTTTATTTTTTGTTGTTGCTATTTATTTATTTATTTTAATTTTCTGTAGGTTTTTTTTATTAGTTTTTTTGTTTGTTTTTTGTTCTTTTTGTTTTGTTCTTTTTTTTTTTTTTTTTTTTTTTTCCTAAAATCTAATCAAATACACATTTTATCAGTGTTCTATCATATTAAGAAATAAAGCTACTAATTGTCGAAAAAATTATCTGTAATATATACTATTTATTTATATGTTATGATATATATTACACTTTGATAACATTGCTATTAATACATTTGTTGAAGAAAGGTTATTTTGAAGATTAATTTTTTCCCTCAATCCAAATAATAAGATGATTTGAATTAGGAATTTGTGAAAGACATAGATAAATACGAGTTAATATGAATTGGTTATAAAAATTTAAAAATAACCAATAGAGTATATAAAATCTAAGCAATTGGTTTTATTTTACAAGTAACTTACTTAAATAGTTAAAGTTTTTAACTTGACTAAGGCTCATGAGTACTGTCTATGGTGTCTCAAAAAAACCATGAGGCCTTTTTTGTATCTTCCTACCTACATCTAATGTGCTACAACCCATATAATACATATATACCTTTATTTTTACAACTATTATTCTAAATGTTGATCACTCCATTTTCTACTTATAAAACATCTTTTTTTTGTACATTTGACTTTACTATGATTTATTAAACATACATAATCATTCAAAAATGTTAAAGGGCCTTCAAATATTTTTCTAAACTTTCATAATAGCCTCTCAAAGTAATAATATCACTTTTACAAAAATCTAAAAATATATTATAAGAATTCCTTAAATTACTAAATAAATTTTAAATAAATATGTAAAAATATCTTAGTATCTTTGTAAGGATGAAATTAATTTAAAATCATATTTTTATTACATTGGTGATTTTTTACAGCAGTTATATCAATTGTAATTAATTAAAAATCTTAATTTAAACCTAATTAATTAAAAAGCCATAAAGCTTCTCTATTATGCTTCTTATATATTAAAAAATATTTATAAGTTTTTTATAAGTAATAAATTTGAATTGAATATCAATTTAGATATATTTTTAAATAATTAAATATTAATTTTTATAAATAAAAAAATAATAATATGTCAATTAAGATAATTTTCTTTAAAATTTATTAAGTTTTTATTTTTATTTTTATTTTATAACTTATAAGACCTTCTTAATTCTAATAAGTTTTTAAGTAATTAAATAGACTTTTTAATCTTAACATTTTTTTATCTAAACAATTTAAAAACTTTGTTATTAATAAATTGGCAAATTAAGATGCATTGGTAGAACTTTAACTATAAAAACGACTTTTACCTCCCATCTTTTTTGTTTATAATTTGCTTTTTATTATATATATATATATATATATATATATATATATATATATATAATATTAAAATTTTCTAATTTTTTGTTTAATCGATCCACATGTCCAAACCACCATTGCACCCTTTTGTCTTACATCTCTATTTCTCATATTCTCTTAGTTCCTAAATCTTGTTTTGACCCCCTCCCTATTCCCAGTCCACTCTTTGTGAATAATTATCCTTATCATAGTCTCTGTAGCTCCCAATTTTGATATTTGATTTAAATCTCATTGTGAATATGGAACATATTACCACACTCTATACCTCAACAAAATCGCTCTATATAGCTACCACTCTACTAACTCTCTTTTTAACTTCTTTCATATTTTGCAACTCTACAGTCACTTTCTAGAGCTCAACTTTGATTGCAACATACAACTCTCTCATTTTTTTTCTTTGATTACCATTACTATTACAAAAGACTTTGCTTCTACATGTAAATCATTAACAAGCTTGTTCTTTTTCTATTCAAATTTTGTAACCAATTCAAGAGTAATGTTCAAAGAAAGCAACTCTTCATTGGCATAGGCAACAAACTTTGAAGTCCTCTCCTCATTTTGGCTTTTCACAACTATTTATAATTTCAGACATCTCTACATACATTTTGCTTTCAAGTTCAAATTAGTATCAAATGCTTTGTTACTATTGAAGATGTTATTGAAGGATATTATTTTAACTTCGATGAACATAATAGAAGTTATATTATAAGCACTCTTTGTAATTGCTTTAGTCCAATAATCCTAAATCTTTGATCAAAGTTTTGTCTCTACTCAATTCTTTGGTAGCAATAATATTAATAGACTAGTTATGCCACAGCCTAATTCCACTCTTTTTAGTCATTGATAAATAAGTACAGTGCTTATAACTTACATTTTCATTTCAATTTTTCACATGGATAAAGAAAAAAAGCATAGTTGTAGACTTTGTATTCCAAATACTAAAAGACCTCATGAATCCATATGGTATCAATATGGAGATAAAATCTATGTTAAGTTGTTCAAAGAGATGTACATATCCTCAAAAATTGAACTCACAATGAAACATTTTTTTTAGATGTTTTAATCTGAAAGTTGGAAGATATATCATAAACTAACATTTGATAAGTCTAGGACCTTCTTGTTGCTTTGATAAGCTAAACTTCATTAAAATTATAGATTGATGAAGTGGAGTGATTAATACTTATCGCAGATCAAATAGAATTAAAAATATAAATAATAAGCAATGTTATATAAAAGCAGCTAAATTTTATGAATGGCCAATTCAAGCTCATTACAATAGTCTTCTATGTACAAAATATCTTGATATTATAATAATCAGTAATTAGCTTTTATCTTCATTTTTTCAATTATAATTTTATTATCAATTTTATCCTATAAAATTAGAGAAGTTATGTATTAGGTATGCTTTAATGATAGTTAGTAATAACTCCATTGCAACAAATTCATGGTTGTATCAATGTAATTGTATATCATTAAATCTTTTTTTCAATGATATGGCTTCAAACATTCTCTCCATATAATTGG